TTCTGTTGGACTACGAATGGAAGAATCTATTTAAGAAAAAAGGAAGGATCTCCTGCAATACGTATAGAAAAAGAGTTTGATATCCGTAACTTACCTACAAATAAGTGACTAGCATTAACCGCACTTTACTCATTAATTCTTTACAACATAATTTTTTCAAGTCACACTTCATTTTATTTCAATATTAGAATTATAATACACAATTATACACGTGCCAAAGTCAATCTCCAACGTGTGTCCAACAAACATTTTCAGTTAATTATCGAATATTTAGCTCTTCACAACCACTTATTTGACTCACAAACTCATCTAAAATCGGATTATGGGTGATTTTAACGAAGTTCTTAACATAATTGAATCCCATGAGGTATCTAAGTCTTTCACTTGTACACCGGAAACTTGTTTACGTCATATTAGTAAAACCTGTAGTACTTTAGGTGTTTTTCACGTAAATATTAGAAGTATTAATTGCAACTTTGATGGTCTAACTACTTTACTAACTAGGCTTGATATTTCCTGTGAAATACTTATATTAACAGAGTGCTGGTTAAGAAGGACTACTTACATTCCCACAATTGAAGGATATAATTCTGTTACTTCGAAATCCCTTAATCAAAACGATGGCATTGTTATATACTATCGCAGTTATTTAAAATTAACTGTCTCAGAGCCGACCTTTAGTGATGCTAACTGTCTTATTCTACAACTCGAGACTGAAATTGCCATTGTTGCCATATATAGGTCTCCCTCGTTTAGGAATCTCGATAAATTCTTAGACAGTCTAAATTTTGTTCTAACATCTCTTGCACATATTAATACTGTTGCTATGATTGGGGACATGAATATCAATATTTTATCAAATATCCCAGATCATAATTCTGATACCTACCTTAATATGACTTCATTTCACGGTTTATTACCAGCCCATCTATTTCCAACCAGAGATAGTAGCTGCCTCGACCACATATTTCTGAAAACTACTAATAATGCGACGTCCCTGGTTCTGGATTCCTTCATAACTGATCACGCCCCTATTATACTTTGTGTTGATTTGAAAACAAAGTTAAAACAGTCTAGTCGTTTCATCCGGCGTATTGACTTTCCGAATGTAATAAGTGATCTACTCAACACAAACTTTACCCCAGTCTTAATTCCCAATGATCCCAACAAAGCAGCTGACATTCTGATCTCAATTATTTCAAAAATTCTAAATTCGCATTCTAAGAATATTAAAGTACCACAAAGGAAAAGAATACTTAAACCTTGGATTACACCGGGCCTTCTCCGATGTATAAGAAATCGAGACAAATTGCGTTCCAAGTTCAAAAAAGATCCTGACAATATGATCAAAAAAATTACTTATACTAGATATCGCAACTTCTGCAACAACCTATTAAAAAAACTAAAATGCGAGTATGAAACAAATAAACTTCTACAAGCTAAAAGCAACCCTAAAGCAACTTGGGATATAATTAAGTCCATTATGGGAATGAACAAACATACTAACAATTCATGTGAATTACTAAACCTCCCAGGTACCATGAATACAGTAAACTCCGTCAATGAGTTTTTTGCAAATATTGGAAAAAATCTAGCGATGTCCATAAATAATGAAGTATCTTATGAAAGTTCTTTAATCACCAATCCTGATACACAACTAAATTCCTTATATTTGACTGAGGCTGATGAACTTGAGGTTAATGACATAATTATGGGTCTTCGTGATAACTGTGCTGTTGGTTGGGATAATATCCCTTCATCAGTGATTAAATCTGCTAGACATGTTCTCATATCTCCAATTACACATGTATGTAATCTCAGCATCTCTAAAGGGGTCTTTCCGACCGCTTTCAAAAAAGCAATAGTCCGTCCTATTTATAAGAGTGGAGAAGTAAGCTCGGTTAACAACTACAGGCCGATTTCTGTTCTTACAATTTTGTCTAAAATATTAGAAAAAATCCTTAATAAGAGATTAGTCCATTTTTTAAATAAATTTAATATATTAGCTCATAATCAATTTGGTTTTCGGAATAATAAATCAACAGAGGATGCTGCACTTGAACTAATTAACACAATAGTTAAAAATATTGATAATAGAAACAAAACTGTGGGTATATTCTTAGACCTGTCTAAGGCCTTTGATTCAGTCTCAATCCCGATTCTCTTGTCAAAGATGGAAAGCATTGGGATAAGGGGCCTAGCTTTGGACATATTTAAGGACTATTTAACAAACAGATCACAATGTGTCAAATTAGACGATCTGATCAGTAATGAAGCGAACCTCACTTTTGGGGTACCTCAAGGAAGTGTACTAGGTCCTACACTATTCCTGATCTATGTAAATAGTCTGTGCTTACTAAATCTACCGAATTCGAAAATATTTTCTTATGCAGATGATACGGCTATAATTGTTCACGGTAATTCATGGGAATCTGTACATCTGTATGCCGAAAATGCTCTTTCTACCGTTATGAAATGGCTTTCTTCTAATCTTCTGACATTGAACTTGGCTAAGACAAAGTACATTACCTTCAGTTCCCGTTTATCATCTCAACCACATAGTGATAGTTACAAACTTGTTGTGCATACCTGTCGAACGTCTCCGAGTCTAAATTGTCAATGCCAACCTATTCAAAGATGCTCGGACACGACATATTTAGGTCTTGTAGTCGATAGTACATTAAACTGGCGAAAACACATCTCCCTGACTGCTGCTCGTATCAGAAAGCTCATGTACCCTTTTAAAAGGCTGAGATCTTCTGTTGAACCAAAACTACTAAAAACCGTTTACTTTGCCTTAGCCCAGTCTCTGATGAACTATTGTGTCTCAGTATGGGGTGGTGCACACAGAACTAACCTGCTTCCGTTAGAGAGGGCACAGAGGGCTATACTCAAAATTATGCTGGGCAAACCCTTTACTTATTCAAGCTCAACCTTATATAAAACCTGGAATTTACTAACTGTAAGGAAATTATTTGTGTTACAAACTGTGTTACGTCATCACAGAGCAGTTCCGTATTTAAATACTGTGACTGACAAACGAAGAAAGGATGTCGTATTTAAATGCATTAAATACCGAACTACCGTTGCTGATCACCACTATGCAGTCATAGGACCTCGTCTTTACAACACTATTAATAAGGCTATCAGCATTTACCCCCTTTCCTTTAAGAAATGTAAAAGAGCTGTAATAACATTTTTACTAAACTTAAATTACGATGAAACTGAAAAGTTACTTTGGCCCTACAATTAGAAAAAACACGAAACGAACACAAATTTAATTGCCAAAGACACGCGGTAACACACACACACACACACACACACACGTACACACACGCACACATACACACGCACAAGCACTAATTTGTTAACTATGTAATTTGTAAAGGAAAGGCGCCGGTGTCTGTCACACAGTTCATACTATGACAGACTCCAACGCTCAACCTGTTTGTTTAATTGTTAATGTGTATACATTTTTAATAAATAAATAAATAAATAAATAAATAAATAAATTTTTGGCTAAAATTTTAAAAATTAGTTTTTATCTCAACCAATGAAATGAAATTATTCACAACATAGAAATTTTTGTTACGTTTGATAATGGTGGAAATCCGAAAATGAATCCACTTCAGCTACAGTCTATTTTAAGCTTCCTATCGAAAATCGGAACGAACTTTCCGGACAACCTATAATGTTAATACAAAGTGTCAAATGAATGTAACAGAAGTAGTTTATTCCAAATTGTATCACAAGTATACAGAGATAGAGTTCAATTTTGTCAAATGTACCGATATTTTTGCGCACCTTGACTGCTTCGTTACTTATGACGCTGTGGCTGCTACGATATTTATGAGCATCTTGCATGTACTCATATATTTGACGCTGTGTATGTACCGATGTTTTTGAGCAGGGTGAATGTATCTATTATTTTGAGGACTTTTGTTGTACCGATATAATTGATTACTTTTGATGTACCTATATATTTGCATATCTTGTCTGTGACGATCTATATGACGCTGACTGAACATTGAATCACAAGGTTGGACTATTTTACATTACATGATGAAATAAAATCATATGATTTTTACTTTTCAACTATCTTCCTCATAGTCGTTAAGTGCAGATTATTATGACCAGTGTAACCACTTGAAATTTCTGAGTGTGGTAGAGTAACTACAAAAACTAATTTATATCACAAAACTATTGACGTCATCAAATCTAAACTTCATTCATAATCGTGTTGTTAAAATGAAATGTCAGTATACAACAGGTGCCTTTCAGGCAGTAGCTATACGTAACATCTACAGGGTGAGAGGCGAAATTAAACTAAGAAGTGGGTCAAAGTCGAGCCGGGGTCGTCGCCCCGCCGGCGTCGAGTCTAAAGTAATTACGTAACGGGGTCGTCTGCGCCCCTCATAAACCGCATATTGTGACCTACGATATCATACAAACTATATCCAACTCATTCGGAACTGTCAAAAGTTTACTCAATACCAATCTAAAGACTAACAGTATTTTGATGAGGATAAATAGCTAATAAGATCCTCATGTTAAGATAATTAATCATTATTAACGAAATAAAGCACTTGAAATCCGTCTGATAGAGTTTATATACAGTCTAAGAGTTTATAGATACGATGCTTAAGCTTAAATATTAAATTCAAAGAAACTTTATACTCATATTTATATTCTACTAGCTGTCGGTCGCGACTCCGTCTGCGCGGAATTACAAAAAAAAAAACAAAATTAGTAGCCTATGTATTTTTCCAGACTATGTTCTACATGTATGCCGTATTTCATCGATATCCGTTCAGCCGTTTTGGAGATACCTTGAATCAAACATCCACCCATCTAAACATTCGAATCTAAACATATATAGTAATATTAAGATAGCTAAACGAAAAGAAAATTTTTGTGACAGTTAAAAATACGTTTACTTGAACTTAGTAAAACTTTATTTAACTCTAGGAACAGGAAACTGTGAGTAATGCTTAACTTACCCTCCGTTTAACTGGAACGACTTTTCTATTGGAATGTTTTTCAAAGCGATTCCTTTTCGCTTGGACTTCTGTGTGATAAGACCTAAAAAGAAAGAAGTACTTTAGAAAATATGTTACCAAGTCTGAGCTGAGAAGTTACTTCAAGTTTTTTATACATATGTATTCATAATGCTGCATTTCTTACAATAAGGTCTAAGACATCGTTTATGGCAACCTAGTAGAGCCACTCACTTTAGTGAAATAATTTTGTTTCATTTTCCATCTTAACTTCATTCTTACAACGTCTCGGAGCCTTTAAAGCATTCGTTTCCCAACTTTCATTATAATCAGCTAATCTAATGTATCCCCACTGAGGGCCTCGGAGCCTACCCTAAGCTAGGGGCGAATAAGCTATATTCAACCGCGCTGGCACAGTGATGGTTGATTTCACACATATCTTTGAATTTATTCGCAGATATGTGTAGGTTGCATCACGATGTTCTTCTTCACCGTAAAATTGTCGGATAAATGTACATATGTACATGGCAGGATTCGAACCCAGGGCCTGCAGATTACAAGTCATGTGCTTTAACCCCTGAGCCACGGACGCTCTACGCACGTCGCTCCACGCTCGACGCTTCTAACTTTACTGACAGTTACTGTCACTTTTCCATGTATAAATTGTACTTGTAGTTACTTTAAAAATATTAAGCCTACAGATAAAAACTATAGAATGTAATAAACGCATTTGCGTTGCGCAATTTAATTTAGTAGCGTAAATTTTTGACGCGTGCCTCAAACGAAGCATCATTTTGGCGCTGGATAGATAGCATTTATATTTTTGGGCGTGCGCAATAAAATCAATACTGTGAACTTTCCAGCAGTGCACTGACCCACTCCCGCACTGTACGAATAAGGCCATACGATATTTAAACAATTCGCGCTGCGAAATAAAAACCGCCCGTTTGTTACAATACTGCCGACAATAAAAACCGATGATTTGGAACAGAATATTATATCCATGAACTACAATTTTATAAAAATACGGTTTTGTAAGTAAAATTATTACAATAAATGAAATTGTTTCTATCCACTTTTTGCCATTGTTTATAAAAGGGTTAGACAAAGTGCATTCACCATGAAGCGATTCCATATCGAACTTCAAAATTGTATAGAACTGACGCGCGACAATCACGTCACTTATCGATAGTTATTGTCAGGACTATACATTTTTGAAGTTCGATATGGAATCGCTTCATGGTGAATGCACTTTGTTTAACCCCGCTTGTACGTTAAGTTACTGGAGGATCCTAACATTAACTTTCTAACTTAATCATCATCAATGCATACGAAAGTATTTCGAAGTTTCTAGAATTTCACGTACTATTTTGGAACGCTCACTTTTATAATATATCACTTCGTATCCACTTCAACTTCATATTGTGGTTTTATCGTCTATTCACGCATACGTTCCGCAGTCGCAGTTTAATCGTAGCATTTAAAAAAAATAAAAAAGGATTTTTCTGAATGCGCATATTTCGCTGCGAGCCGTCGTCCCGCGCGGGGTGTAGACAAAGCGCTGTAAAATTACAGTCTTCCTTTTAAATGCGAGAATGAATCGCAATGTCTCGTCCCCTCAAAGCATTGCAATGCCGAGCAATGCGACTTTGTGCTCTCTCTGTTCTCGACAACACAACTGGAGAGACTAGGAACGTACGCTTGTTCAAGACAAGGTTGATATGATGTTTAAAAAGCGAGCTTTATGAAGCATGGCAGGTTAACAAAGTATAATGCAACTGTAACATTATTATTATTCAACATAAAAAAGTGATGGAAAAAGTTAAAAAAAATAGACTAAATAGTTTTAGACATTAGTTACAAACCTTTGGCGCGAATGGCGCGTTTTCGTTATAAAATCACATGTCAAAAGGATTAGTGAGGGGATATAAACGTCGACATTTTAGTAAGACTAGTGTTGCGACAGTACACCAGCACAGTGTCGGATTTTCTTCCTAACAATAGCGAGTTCAAATTTCTTCCACATTGATATAGTCTCTGAGGTAAAATTAAACTTAATCGTTGTGAAAACGTTAGCTTTAACACACGCTCGCAGCGGAATCAGTGTAAGGACCACGTGATCTGAATACTTGGCACCTCTTTACATTCTCTTACTATCCGGATTTTTATCAACTTAAAAAGATAAAAAACTATAACTCTGTTCTATCGGTAAAACAGTATAGACGATTTTTTTAAAATTTAAAACAATGGAATGCAACGAAATTTTTAATAAAATTCACTTCCGTCGGTCAAACAGCATAACTTTAGCCTTTACAATTCGGTACAGTGTGTACGTGAATATTTTAAAAATGCAGACAGAACTCTTTGAATGCGGTCGTCTTTCCATTCTGCTAGTGTTGCCGCAAGACAAAACCTACGGGAATTACACTCTTGTGCCTCAAATACGGGCTCGAGAGAGCAATATGTTCGCCTTTGACAGCTGGAGAAACTCATAAACGGGATGGAAATGAAAGGTTTGTTCTTTTGCGAAATACGGATGTGATAATAATAACAAAATTGTTTCGCGCACGCAAAATAATACTGTCTAAATAACAAATACATCAGTAATACTTAAACTGGTTAAAGGAGAAGAAAGTTCTATTCTTGAGACTTCATAAGATACAAAAATGTGTTTAGTAAAACCAACACATTTTTAGGGCTCCGTACCTCATAGGAAAAAACCGGAACCCTTATAGGATCACATTGTTGTCAGTCCGTCCGTCTGTCAAGACCCTTTTTCTTAAAAACGCGTGAAGGTATCAAACTGGAATTTATTTTTATAATATTAGCAACTAGCCTGGCTTTTAACTTATACATGCTGGATATCTAAATACTTGTATTTGTCTGTTCCATCGCCATTTAGTAAATATTAGCTATCGCCCGCGACTCCGTTTGCACGGAATTAAAATAAAACATAATTAATAGCCTATGTGTTCTTCCAGCCTATGTTCTATAAGTATGCCAAATTTCATCGAGATCCGTTCGGCTATTCTAGAGATACCTTCAAACAACCATCCATTCATCCATCTAAACATTCGTATTTATAATATTAGTAAGATGTTTTTACATAAATCATCATGTCGTTCTATAAACTGCCTTCCCAACTAAAGCAACCGCGATTTATCAGCGAGTTGAACAATAGAAAACGTGCAAACGTCTCGGTTTTCATCTGGCATTTTCTCCATAACCAGGGGAGCGGGCAATGGAGACTAAGTGACGCTAAATTGTTGCCTCCCAACCTTCGACGCCCACCATTGTATTTGATGCCGGACAAACAGAATGTTTTATTAGCCCACATTACCGCCTAATGGAACGAATTAGGCTGGTAATTTGTCGTATTTTTCCACAGAGATAAATGCTACACTGTTATTTTCCCCTTACGTACAAATAACAATGGTTATTTATTCTACCCAAACATATTACTTCTTTACATTTTTCGTTATTCCGCGTGCGAAAAAAATAATGAGATTTCGGTGTTTGTTACACGTGTTCCATTTTGTTCGTAATCGTTAGCTATTTAAAATGTTGTTCAACATTTTTATCAACACAAAAAAAGTGTTTTAAAATAAACAACGCAATACTTCAAATATATTACTTTGTAATTTTTCTTTCTCTTATGAATACCTACTAAATGTATGTTTTAAAGTTTAAGTAGTCATTTAACGCGATGTTTAAACTTACGGATTACATTAGTGTTTTACGAACATAACTGTAACTTTAAAGCATGTGGTCATAAGTGATCTTGCCGTATACTTCATGTTAACACAGAGGCCAAGTCTCAGTACGCTAGTGGCGACCCCTGCAATACTACGGGGACATTAAGAAAGTAAGTAAAAGCCCTGACGCTAGTAATGTAAAAATATTATTGACTGGAACTCTACTTTATGCCACCTGCTTCCAGTAATTCCTGCAAACCTAACATTGTAAAACAACTCCTTTATTTGTGCATCCAAATTTAACTCTTACACATAAGTAACTAGACTCATTTCGCTGTAGCAAAATTAATATTTATTTCAGTAGGAATTTTTCAGTATTAACCACCGAGTCCGGGTACTTACTCATATTTTGAGTTGCGCCAACAACTTGGGTGACTTTAATGGTAGAACTTGAGCTGTAAATAAGAAAAGTTTAAGTGAGTATTTAAAAATTATGTACTGTGGCATTACATTGTGAAATATTGTGCAAACATAAATGTAGAAAGATTTTTACTAAGCAAAACTTGATGCTAACAAATTTTATAAAATACAATTTTACTTTCAACAAACTTTCGCCCGTGACTCCGTTCGCGCAGAATTAAAAAAAATCTTAACAAGTATGTCTTCTTCCAGACTATGTTCTACATTTGCGCCAAATTTCATCAAGATTCGTAAAGCTGCTCCTGAGATACCTTCCAACAAACATCCATCCATCCATTTAAACTTTCGCATTTATAATATTAGTGAGATTATTAAAGTATTCGGCTGTTTAGTTCAACTTATTAAGACTGAAATTACTTAACGATAAATACCTTGTCAGTTTGTTGTCTTGTGCATTAAACATTCTTTTACAAATGCATATGTGTGCACCTCGCATACCTAGAATGAAAAGATTGGAATAATATCATTGTTTTAAGTAGATTGTACCATTATTTCAAAAGTTGCTAGAATAAATATACGAGTATACTCAAGTTGTCAAGTAGAGAGAATAGTTTTCCGTGTGTTGTGGATGTAGAGAAGATTAGTTTCAACTCTGTCTAATTAGTCCCATGTCTCTACAGAGTCTTTGGTCAACATTCGAACTTTATTTGTATTAGTGATTCAACTCATACTATCATAATTTTTAAAAACCGTACTTGAAAAAATATTACTGTTATTAATAAAGGGATTTATTACGGAATTTAATATTTACAAAAACTTCTATGTAAGAAAAATATTGAGATTGTGATCTAAAGGGTTGTTAATGAGATTCTTAATGTTCATTAAAATTTGAAGAATCTTGCGGTCGACTTTCAAAGGTCTTAAGACTGAACGAAAAACTTTACATCTTTGTGAAAAAATTTCGTACGCATAATGAACGGTAAAACCAAAAACTTGGAGGAATAAGTGGTTTGTTATAGAAAATATGGCCAGCGTTATTTATTTAAACATTTTATGTTTTAGACGCTTGTAATTTATGAATAAAAATATTTCAAACTTGTAAATCACAACGAAAATCTAAAATGAATGTGTTAATGATAATAATAAGCTTTTTAATACAATGTATCATATAAAGAATAAGACAATAACTGTAGGTTTCTGAGACCAAAATCATATAAAATATAAAACATATTTTCATTGTCCTTATCTTTGACGAATTAATTTTTTTAAAGGGAAGTTTGACCTTAGAAACCCACGGTAAATTGATGATTAAAAAAAATGAAGTAAGGGTAATGATTATTCTAACCAAATAATAGATGGAGTGACCGTGTCAACGTCATAAGGCATAATCTCGACGTTCGGGACCACGTCACTCGACCGTTTCGATTGCAATTAAATTTGGGGCTAAATTGAATCGAAGCGGATCCCGCGCGGGTCCAGAGTGTTTGACAAATAATCCGCCTCCAATTTATTTCATCGTACATAATGAGAAACCCAACGAGAATGCTTCGAATAAAGCTTTCAATTTCCGTTATGGTGTTTAATTGTGAAATAGGTTGATTGTAGATCCCAACCGCGGTCTAAATAAAAATGTTTTGTTTTGCTATTTCGTTTCAATCATTTTCTCCTTATTCTTCATTTTCTTTTCCTATTTGAACCTTGATATTTTACGTTAATAATTATTATTTTTCAATATTCTAATGTCCGAAAAGTCTTATTTTGTTGTACTGTCACGCGTTGAATTCTGGTTTGCGCTGATTATTTTTTTATTTTATTACTTTTCTAAATCTACATATTAATATAATAAGTCTGCTTAATACATCGATTTTTTCTGAGAAATTTAATCGAATGTAAGAGAATCGAAAAATCGTCTCCATTAAGCATTAGGGTTGTCGCAGAAAATTTTTGTTCTTGTTTAATTCTGCATTCGTCAAGTGGATATTACTTGCATTTGCAGTAGTCAGTCGAGGCGCAGAAATTATGTTGCACTACCGTAGGGTTGTCCCACCCCAAACTACGCGGAACTCGTTTAATTCCCGCGGCCGCACTCTTTATAATTCCAGCAATTATTTGAAGCCGTATTTTCCGCTGACAAAACGTTTTAATATTTCGTAAATGCGTTTAGTGTAATTGTTCTCGTTGTTGGTTGTTATAGGGATGGGGGAGGGGAGGGGATGGGGTAGAGGATTTTTGTTTTAGAGATGTTTATAAATAATTTGAATGATTAGCTTGTCACATAACTGCTAATTTGTGTAAAATACTTGCACTTCAAATCCTATTTTTAGTCATTATCGCGTTATGTAAGCTGAAAACCAGCTCAGGAACGGCCTTGACCATTGGTGAGCTTGCAGCTTTATGCCACAATTATAATTATTTACTAGCTGACGCCCGTGGCTACGTCTGCGCGGTATTAAATAAATATAAATAATATATAATAAACAAAATATATAAATAGATGTTGGTCGATTCTCAGACCTACTCAATATGCTCACAAAATTTCATGTGAATCGGTCAAGCCGTTTCGGAGGAGTATGGGAACGAAAATTGTGACACGAGAATTTTATATAGAAGATTAAATGTTTGTTTTATATTGAATTGGTCAAAAAAGTAAAAATGGCAAATCATACTTACTGAAATCGCCGAGCATTCTTTTACCAAATGTATTATCATTCTCCAACCAAAGACACCTGTAACAAATAAATAATTTAACCACTTTAATAACATAATTAAACTTAATTAAAATACTGTTTAGATTTGAAGAAATAAATGAATACTCGTAATACCAAAATTCTCAACGAAAGAACGGAAGAAATAAAACAAAAAACGTCAATGTAACACGGAATTCAATCCGACAAGATACAAATACCGAACGTATTTGCATGGAATTGGATTTTTAATTAAAAAGTAAGAACGTATGCAACGTGTAATCAGTTAATTTTGCAATTAACAACATGCTAATGAGTTAAATCGTTCCTGCTATCCAATTTAAAATCGGAAACCTAATTTTAATGCGGCTTTGTTGCAATCGTTCGAAAACCTTTTCATTTGCGGTACTCGTAAATATTTCCTTAAATTATTCTATTATATAAATAACGATAAAGATTTTCAAACAAAAAACATTTTGGCTAAATGATAAAAGACTTTATCATATAAATAAAATGTTCTTTCTGTTCTTATTCCAATTATTATCAAAAATTAAATTTTTTATACAAAAGTTAAGAAAGTTTGTAGCCTGTAGTACCAGGATAGCATAAATTGATAGGTACATCAATAAAGCCCTTATCGTATCAAAGTATCACTTTAAGAAAAAAGGCTCGAGTACACTTTACATACAATACATTCTCAGACAATGAGGGTATAGTGACATGCTTTTAGCAAACCATATTCAAGCACCTACTTCGATGTAACCACCCTGTCCTATAAAGACATTGTTCGCACTCAAGCGAACCTTTTATAGACACTGAACTTTCAGCGTATGTTTCAATATATTAAAGCGGAAGTTTAGGCATACTTGAAAAATTGCATTGAAAAGGTAATCATTACGAAACAGTTTTTTAATATCACCATTCGACCTAAAACGCAGAGCGGAAACGAAAGGAATAATAACTAAACAAGGAAAATATAGAGAAATGAACGCATTAGAATCTATTTAAAATATTTTAATAATTTAATTTAATTTAAAAATTGGTTAAAGGGCCCGATACAAAAGGCTGTAACTTTAGAAACCGCGCGCATTGTGAGAAGGTCCCTGTCTTTATAGCCCTGACTGGTGGTTTCCTGAGTCATGGGATTCCCCAGTCGGTGTACACAATTTTTTAAAGTGTAATATATAAAAATAAGTAAATAAATGAGTATGAGTTTTATGAAAAATATCCATAGATAGAGCGTCCATCCATAGAGCGTCGGTGGCTCAGTGGTCAAACACTTGACTTGCAATCTGCAGGTCCTGGGTTCGAATCCCGCCATGTACCAATGTGTTTTTCGATTTCCGATTTACATATGTACATTTATCCGACGTTCTTACGGTGAAGGAAAACATCGTGATGCAACCTGCACATATCTTAGAAGAAATTCAAAGATATGTGTGAAGTCAACCAACCCGCATTTGGCCAGCGTGGTTGACTATGGCCTAATGATCCTAAGTTAGGATAGGCTCCGAGCCCCTCGGTGGGGACGTATAGTGAGCTGATGATGATGATCCATAGATACTAAAAAAAATACGTAAATGTATGTATGAAGTAAGAAAATAAAATATAAAGTAATAAATTTATTCCATTTTGTCGAGTAGAAGTTCCATTTTATATCGTTGCTGGCACTTTACAATAAAACCTACGAAAGTGTATGCGGAAATATAAAATGATACAGCAAAGATGCAAACGCTACGAGCTTTCATTTTCAGGATTGCATGATTTTACATACAATGAATTCGCTTGCTGAAATTTTCGCCCGCTATGAACGGGGATGACTGAAAATATTCGAGTTTACGGAAATTAGTATAGCAAAGAGACTCTTTATTATAGTAGTTATAAGGTTTCATTTCCCACATTATATTCTTATAAAATAATACTGATCCATTTAATAGAAAAGAAATCAATATAACTTGTTTTTTAATTTATCAAAAATTGATGTTACGCGCGGAAAAAAAACTTGATTAATAGACGATGTGTTCTTCCAGATTGTGTTCTACATGTATGTCTAATTTTAGCGAGATCCATGCAGCCGTTCTGGTTGTTATAAACATCCATCCAACTAAACATTCGTTTTTATAAGATAATTGCACTAGATATATTTAACTTAACACATCACAGATTATCACTGCACTAAGTAATTAAGTTAGATATTAATAAATATGATCTACATTCCAGATTATATTTATGGGCACTTCGCAGCATGAGTTTTACGGCTTCTATTAACGAGGCTGTATTAAACGCTGAATATACCATACTAAACGACCACGTACAGGAACTATATTTGCTTATTACTGTCAGGAAGAAAATCCGACAATGTGTCGGTGTACTGGTGCAACACTAGCCTTACTAAAATTTCGAAGTTTATGTCCCCTTACTAATCATTCTGAAACTTGACTTAGTAACGAAAGTGCGCAATTCGCGCCAAATTATTCTAACTATAATACTTACCTACCATATCTTTAATTCTCTATACTATGCAAAATTCAAAACTCATTATGTACCTTTGTGTTTTTCCAGACTATGTTCTACATGCCAAAAGTGAGTGAGATCCAGGCAGGCGTTTCGGAGATAACTTCTAACAAACATCCATTCATCCATTCGCATTTATAATATTAGCAAGATAGCATAAATACCAAGATGCCTTCCTACTCTGTAACATGTATGTCGTCGAAACTTGAAAAATGTATTTTTTATCGAGTCGTTTTAGCGTATGTTGTAGCGCTCACCCGCAAGGCATCAAAAATGTATGCCAAAGATATTGGAAGCTTTTGTGTCGGACTCGATGATAGATGATATAGGGCGTGTGATCGCTAACTTATACCGATATATCAACACTCTGACTGCCGCACATATTTTTATAACAACCCTCTCGCTGCCACAGCTGCGGTTATGTTAAAATTGATACTGGAGTGTAGATTGGTTTGTTCGGAGTTTCCAATATTAAATGTAATTTGATTTAAAGTTTTGAAACAAAAAATACTGAGAATAGATGAGCTACAAATTTATTTTGCAATGTGCAAAGAGATGTTATAACTGTCAAGAACAGAATGTACAATGTTGGTCTTGAAAAATAAATTGTATAAAAATATTTTATAATAGTTTTTTTTTAAATATTCAGCCAAAGGGTCCATCGGACTTTAGGTCACAACTATGAAATGAGAATTGTTAAGGTTCATTTATGTGTCAAATCTCAAACCAATGTTTTCGATTTGCGATTTACATATGTACATTTAACCGACGTTCTTACGATGAAGGAAAACATCGTGATGCAACCTGTACATATCTGAGAAGAAATTCAAAGATATGTGTGAAGTCAACCAATCCGCACTGGGCCAGCGTGGTTGACTAAGGCCTAGTCACCCTTAACTTAGGGTAGGCCCCGAGCCCCTCAGTGGGGACGTGTAGTGAGCTGATGATGATGATGAAACCAAATTACATTTATAACAATTTACTTTTTTAATTGCGCAAACTAGTATAAGTCTTAGGACGATACAAATTACCCAACTGAATGTTTAAAATAAATAAATAAATAAATAAATAAAAATCGTTTATTTAGGCAACAAAAATTATGATAAAATTACATAGTAATAATACGCCTGACTAGGTTCTAGACCCGTATTATAGGAGCCAGGTCTCTTTCGTCTTAGTGCTATAGTTTAAGTAATATGTTAGTGACATTGTGAGATTGCTTGCCTTACTTAAGAATTACAAAAAAAGAGAAAAAATTATAATTAAAATAGCTTAATATTGCATGTAAATATTTGAGCGTGTTTATGTATGTACGAGTGGATGTATATGTTCGTGGGTGTATGTGTTTCTGAGAGAAAAATGCATGGGTTTAAAGGATTCTATATAATAAAATCAATGAGTTTTTCAGTATCTGCATAGTTTAGATTTACAAGTATATGGAATAATAAGTTTTTACATTTTAAGGAGGTAAGATTGAGTATTTTGTTTTCTTTGTGTATTTTGTTATATAGGCATGGGCCCAGGAAGTATGGAAATTTTCCAGAAAACATGATTCGTACTCTTGGAACTTCACATATGCTGTGTAAGGAGCGCTGCGTGGAGACTAAATCTTTATTGCATGTCATTAATGAGTGTTGATGCAGGATAAGAGTCTGTATGTATAATTGTCTTACTGTAAGAACTTTACATTCCCTATACAGATTAACTGTTGGGTATCTGTATGGACGGTTTGTACTACATTTTAGTATACCTTGTTGGGCTCTCTCTAAAGGCAGAAGATGCGTTTTATTTGTACCACCCCAAGATGAAATACAATAACATAGCACAGACTGGCACAGAGAGTAATATAATATTTTAGTGACGTCTTTATCTGCACAATCTCTGATGTTTTTAAAAACTGCTGTTAATTTTCTGATTCGCTGAGTTAATTGGTCTATATGCTCCGTGAAGGACAATTTTTTTATCAATAATTACGCCAAGGTATCTAATTGAATCAACTTTTTGCATGGTCTGACATTTACACGTGACACTCGAGAAGGACTTTTGACAGGTAGATGAGGTGTGTGCAAATAGGGGGAAGGACTCAAAAAACGGAGGGTTCTTAATGGAAAATGCTATATACTTTGTTTTTTCTATGTTTAATGTTAATTTATTATTTCTGAGCCATATCGAGACGTTGTTAAATGCTTCCTGGGCTGCTGCAATAGCATCAGGCCATGAGTCTCCATGGACTACTAAAGCTGTGTCGTCAGCGTAAGTTATAATAATTCCCCGACCAATTGGGAGGTTGCAAAGCTCGTTTATATAGATAAGAAAGAGGGTAGGCCCTAGTATACTGCCCTGCGGAACACCACAGCTAACAGTTGCGGGGTCACTTATATGAGGTCCTATCTTTACGCTCTGTGTCCTATTCGTAAGGTAATCTTTAAATAGGTTAAGTTGTGTACCTCTGATTCCAAGACCCTCTAATTTATTTAAAAGTATCGGGATTGACACCGTGTCAAATGCCTTTGCAAGATCTAAAAATAGAGCAATACTCTTCTTTCTAATATCAAGATTTTTGGCGACAAATTCAGTTAGGGTAAGTACAGCATGAGAAGTTGACTTATTTCTACGGAAACCAAATTGATTGGAGGAAAACATGCTGTTCTTTTCTAGATAATTGACCAATCTATTGTTAATTATCTTCTCAAAAACCTTAGATATAGATGTTAAAAGGGAAATGGGCTTGTAGTTACCAACAATCTTTTTATCACCACTTTTGTGTATAGGAATAATTATGGCATGTTTGAGAGATTTAGGAAAAACTCCAGTTTGTAAGGAAAGATTAACAATGTGTGTCAAGACAGGAGCAAGTAAGACACTATTCTGGCGAAGCACAGTAGAAGGAATATTATCCCAGCCCACCGAACTACCTGCTTTCAACGAGTTAATGGTGTTAAAAATTTCAGATATATTTGTATCTGTTAGGACAATAGAATTTACTGTTTTGTTGATTGACTGTGGACTATAGCTACCAATGTCAGGAATAATTTGATCTGAGAGAGCTTTACCTATATTAGCAAAATAACTATTCACGTCGTTGACTGCTTTTTTACAATTTACGCTATTTTGTATAAGATCTTGTGATACTTTGGGAATTGTTTTAAAGTGCGTTATTTCGTTTAATACTTTCCACGTCAATTTCATATTTCTCGTTTTACTAGCTTCCTTTAGACGTTCTCTTAAAATTGCACAATAAAATAAATAAACTAAAAACTAAAATATTCAATTCAATTTAAATATTTATAACAAAGACTAACCCGGAACATGTAAATAAAAGCAGTATCAATAGACTGCGTCATACAAACACGAAATTGGTCAAATTCACGGCTGGTATTTATGTACGTTGCAGCTGTATTTGTTAACTTCTAAACAGTAAATATTTAAATGAACGAATTAAATTAATATTGTAAGCCGTTGGTTCAATTTAACCATATCAGATGACGGTAATAAAAAGTGAGTATCTACGAATGACAAAATACTGTCCCTTACGCGTGCAACATTGTTACAATTGTAAAACTTACTGTCGCCCGTGACTCCGTCCGCGCGGAATTAAAAAAAAAACATAATAAGTAGCCTATGACAGATTATGTTCTTTATGGAAGCTAAATTTGATCAAGATCCGTTCAGCCGTTCTTGAGATATGTACCTTCAAACAAACATCTATCCATTCATCCAGCTAAACGTTTATAATAATAGTAAGATATTAATAAGTAACGTCACAATTATTTAAAAATCTGTTTCAATTGTAGTTTAAAAAATAGAGCGTATAATAGACCTAGTAAAACATATGACAAACAAAAATGAAATTTGCATCCCATTTCAGCTAAGTTTAAACAATGTAGTGGAGCTGTATTTACTCAACGCGCGTTGTGTTGCGCGTATTTACTCGACGCGCGTTGTGTCGAGTCCCGTGCGCATAGAAATTTGACGCGTGTTTTAAGCTGTAAATGGTTTTCAATTGATTTTACCGTATTATCGAAACTTCATTATCATCGGTGCGATGGAATATGTATTTCAAAATGTATTATCACGTTGTATAAGTTTGTGAGTAAGTGTGTAAACATATGTACTACCTAAATATTATATACGTATCTGAATATCGGTGCCCATGATACAGGCATTGCCTAGTGTGGGCATAATTAGATTATCCAAATTAACCATAAATGGTAACTTAAGTTTAATTTAATTTCTTCTTCTTCTGCTAACTCTACAGCCCTTTGTGGGCCTTGGCTTGGTCCAGCAACCTTTTCCACCTCGGTCTATCTCTGGCCACGGACTTCCAGTCATGCCATGCCAATTTAATTTCTTAGTTATGTGCAATTTTTATAATGTTAGTTATTGTTTTGTTGGTTTAATCTTTGTTACCTATAATAAAAACTTTTCTTTCTTTCTCTTTCAAATGAAAAGTTACAATTACATATGCATTATGTTTTCAAAGATTAATCGTTTTCCGAACATCGATTTTCACTTACATATTCAATTTGCAATAAATTCAAACAACTCGTTTTCATGACAATACGAAAGGGGATTTCAATTGATGTTAAATCGCATAGTTTCAAAACGTAAATGAAAATTCCTGAAACACTTTTTTTGTGTGATCCATTAAATTGTACGTACAAAAATAAAAATCAACATAACCATTCTTTATCCAACAAGGTTATGAAATTGTAGGAATAGCCGAATATCATTTTCATAAAGAATTCCCTGTATATTTCGTATCAAATGAAATTCCTCATAAAGTGTCAGGAATCCATCAACGAATACAGACGCAGGATAATCCTATAAATATGAATAAACGCATTATATATAATGTGATACTATTTGATGCCTTACTGCTTTAGTAATAAAGGTTATATTCCTATGCGATTCATTAATGTAAGGTGTGATGGTCTGGTGTAAAGATATTCATTTTCCGTTAACGCTTTTCCCAAATTGTTTTTACATGTCTTGTAAATGGTTACCTTTGTTTGTTATATATTTGCAAAAAACTATTTAAAAGTTACAAACTGTTAAGAAACTGCACTAATGATCAATTAGTATTTCAACGTTGGATTTTCAAATTTTTTTCAAAGTTCTGGACAAAATTTTTAATTTTTTTGTTCTCACCCGTATTATCGGGTTCTCTCTCTCTCCTAAATCTATTCCTGTCGGATGATGCAACAAAAATTATCTAGAGAACTTACATAATATGTGTAACGTAAACATATTTTGATATTCAGTTACGCATAATCGAATTGTCTACAAACTTTCACGAACGCAAAACCATTACGCTGCGACAAAAACAGAACATCGCCTTCCGGGCATTTATCTCCCACGAAGTGGTATAAAGGACATAAATAAAGCAAAACCTATAAGGCTTTAAAGCAACAATGAAAAATACGAACCGTTTTACGTGGAGCCGAGAGTTGGGGTTGGGCAGCGGCGTGGTGGTCGCGGGGGGCGCCCCCTGGCGGGAACAATGCCGCCCCGCCGGGAGCACTGCTGCAGAAACAAAAAAAACACATGAACAACCGCTCCAATTATTGACGTGGGCATGAGATGAGAACCTCGAGTTACACGCCTGTGTGTGCATTCTTTTAACTACGTACTACACTGTGTCGACTTTTTGCACCAGCAAATTGAAACTAACACGATTCTTTTTTTTTCGCGTCCGCTTACTCTTTTCGTTTGTGCCAGTAGTTGTTCGTTGTCATCCTGCAGTGTCGCATATAAATAAAAAGTCGCGTAGAGATAAAAATGTTAAGGCATTTTTCCTTTTGTTAAATATTTAGTTTCAGTTATGAACATTCCTGACTAAAGTAGAAATATGTTAGTGTGCTCTTTGTGTCAAAATGCGCGGAATATTCCTAGAAATAGCATACGTAGCAAAAACTGCTGGTCTGTTCAGCATTAAAATAAAGCGTAAAATATTATGGAGCAAAGAAAAATGGTAAAAATATCAGAAGTATAATTTCAAGAAAAAGATTCGATGCACTTTTGTGGAATGTACTAATTCAAATAAGAAATTATAATCATATAAAAACAGTGAATAATTTTTTTAAATAAAGTAGCAACATAGTTAACATATAAAGGAACGTCGGTTGTAATTTCTATCATCTAAATAATTGCGTAACAAAAAGTGACATAATGTAGCCTTACAGCACGATTACTCTTGCCATTGTTATTTTTTTTAAGAATCCTTAATCATGTCTTTTATTTGAATTTGATATTTAAGTTAAACTTTATTGTGTTCTATGGCTATTTTTTTTTTTATTTGGTCTAGCCTTGCGAATAAATACACACTTTAAAAGTCTTGATTGATAAGTTTCCAGACGCTACGGGAGCTCCTCCTGCTCGGTGTGAACATTTGCGCAGATTGGCGGTAGATTGATGGATTTAACCGGCTTTGTACAATGCTTTATGCAAGTGATGTAAGGGCAATATTCAATAATAGCCTCCACAAAATCTAGATAACTAGCTTGAATATAATCTTATTTTAATAAATGCGGATATTTGGATGGATGGATGTTTGTTGGGTATCTCCAGAATAGCTGTATGAATTACAATGAAACTTGGTATATGGATGTAGAACAGTCCGGAAGAACACATAGACTACATATGATCCGGGAAATGTGGACGGTTCCTTGAGATACGCTTGATTTCCATATTTACTATATATCTCCGCAACGGTTCAACACATCTTATTGAAATTTGGCAAAGATATAAAGCATAGTCTCAAGTAACACATGTGATTTAATCCTTTTTAGGGTTCCGTACGATAAAGGAAAAAATCCGAAAACCGTAAATTTTTAGTTCCATCGTATAAAAAAATATTTTAATTGCGTAAAGGGGTAGCGAGTCTGGCTCGCACTTGTCCAGTTTTTTTTTTACTTTACACTGCCGAAGCCGCAGGCAAAAGCTAGTTATACAACATGAAAAAATTTACATTGTTTATTTCCACATATATTACAGCTACCCATAGCAATGAGGAGTACAATGAAAATATGTTTTATGTTTTTGGTCTATTAGCATGTTTATGTAACACTAGGACTATACCAAACCAAAAAAACGGTTCCATTAGATAAAGCTATTTGTAATAATAATAATAATAATATACCAAAGATCACATGGAAAGTTGTAAAACAATTTTTGCAATAAGTAATAAACACAGTAATAATCTACAAAAGTATGTGAGGTCCGATCGAACAAGTCCATATTGGCTTTTGTTAATATACATTCCAACAGCGCTTGAAGGCAGAATATTCCGCATGCAAATCCACATTCAAGTGATGTATACAAAGCTGAATTGACTTTCTACGAAATACAATTTCGTAATTAACAATTTCATTAATTCCCGATATCGGAAATCGAAATCTATTAGAACTAACTAGAATTGGGACGGACTAATAAGTGTTAATAGGTCCGTTGAGTATTTTGGTCTGGATCACAAATCCTACCAATGATGGGAACAGCAACTTTAAATGATAGAGTCGAACTCTCTCGTAGTAACATAGTTTAACAAAAAAAAAAAAAGAAAAAAAACACGTCTTTTAGCTTCAGTATCTAGTCGTATGTAATGCAGTCTTATCACAACAGCAATGATGATTAGATTATTTGAAAAAAAAAGCAATTAAAACGAAGAAATAAAAAAAGTCTTAACTTAGCTATCGTCACAGTCCATGTTGCTAAGAAATAAAAACTCGTTGCTCGTTTGCCACCTTATGATATAAAATAAAACTGTTCTAGTATTGAATATCGGTAATCTTTTGAATTTTGTTCATCCATTTCGTAATATATTGTACGAAGCACGTACAATTCAAAGCAGGATGCAGACATTCGTAAAAATAGACATACAGTGCATAGTTCATTATGTAGGGGAATTTCTTTTGGAGCTTATCTCTCGCATCTCCGCTTGGCTCGCAATAAATCCCTATTGGATGCGAAAATCCTCTGTACAGAGGCACCTTAGTATACGAATGAAATCCTTTCACATTGAATCCTGACTTTAATTACAGAACACCGGGTCTTTTTTGGATAAGAATCTGATGAAGTGAATATATGAAGGACATAACTAAAGAAAATAGCGTCTATTAAAAACATTTTCCCCGACATCTCAAAACACCCATTAAAAAATCTTATTTCAATTCGTATGTAATTTTATTTCTATGAAATTGTGTAATACAAATATGTACTTATGTTAAAAATGTTGATCATCACAAGTGTATTTCGTTATTCCCCTATATAACAATGTGTTTACAATTCCAAAGACTCCACCGAGAGCACACAAGACCGTCGTTTTTTCTATTTTCCATATAGTAATGGACGAATATAGAAATCGATTTCCGGTCTCGAGTGATGTCAAAGTTACCTCGTTTATGTAACGTAGTTTGTACGACATTATTTCACGTAATATTTTTTTATTTTCTGACAACATCGTTGTCGTTGTTTTAGTTTGTAATCTTGAAATACAAGACTTAAGGATCAGTGTCTCTTTGAATGCCATAACAAAATATTAACTATGCTAAAATGTCTTCTTATTACGCAAATGTCTAAAATAAATCTGGGTAATTATTATAAACATCTTATATTGGCTACTTTACTTTTTAGAGGGATAAAGACAGGATGACTACCTTTCGTTTATACTTCAAATCACAAGGTCTTAACAAAATTTAAGCCCTTCGTATATAAGGGAACTTAAATCTTCGAAACTAATATTGTATGTATACTTGAGTTCCGAGCATCGCGTAGAGCGCGCTTCGTACATACAATGTCGAGTCGTCGACGCGAGTCGTCTACTCATTCAGTCGTATTGCGACTACAAGGTTAACACGAATTTACGAAATGTCAACTGTATAGAATTGTTCCACCATCTTGAAAATCACAGGGACTTTTTTCGCGATGATCGTTACAAACAGGTGACTTTGGTGACCAAATTTTAACAACGCGTGCCTGTTTACGAACATTTGTAGCATTGTATTGCGTTAATCGCTTAGCGGCTAAAATCGCCAAGATACAAGTTATAAGTCCTGTGTTTGAAAGGCGTGCCTTTCTACTCTTATACAACTGTAACATTAAAATATTGATGTTTTAAAAATATGTACAAATACGTATTCCATATGAGCGGGGACAACGAGCGAAAAAACGAACGACGAAATCCATTGGAAATCGGAGTGAGGGTGGCGAATGGAGGTTGGGGGTGCGAGCCACAGCCGGCAGGGGGCGCTACATCCGCCGGATATACAGTCTGCCCGGGATGCGGAGCCTCCTCAACATATTTCTTACTCATGTGTAAAAGTGACTTTAGTTGTATAGGGCGCACAGTAACACAAAATTACTGGCGATTTTCACAGCATTCACAAATAAATATTTATCATTTAAAAGATGACGAGAAAATATTTTGATGAAGTAACTTTTATATTTTTGTTGACAAAAAAAAAAGAATTTACAAAAAGAGTGAAAGCTGCACAAAATTAACACATTATGTGCCACCGACTTACCTTGCGTAACTGATACGTGAATCGCAATAGCATTGAATGTGTTAACACAATAAATGTTGCTGAGTGAAAATAAATTTAAATAGCAGAAAAAAGGGATACTTAGTCCAAAATACTGGTTTTACAAAGCACATCTATAACGCGTAAACACCTTACTTCGTTTATTCCAATAAAAGCAATTGAACAAACTCTAGTGAACTTTTTGCCCTCGCTCGCAAACATTGTAAAGCTTAATTTCTTTATTTTCAGCGATAATTGGCGTAATGCAAAACAATTGCACCAGCGGGAACGAGAAAACGGAACAAGTGCCTCTTCTCTTATTGTCTTGAATCGAGGTTAGCGTTATATCTTTTATTTTCTTTACAACTTTTATGTATTTAAAATCAAGTTACTATTCAGAAAACGAACTAATAAAAATTACAAATTGCGCAAATGTTTTTTTTTGTTTACATAATTATAATACACATACATAATTATAATTTTCATGAGCAGGCGAAACGAATTAAGAAAAGAAGAAAGACGACAAAGAAACTATGCTAGTGTTTTAGAAAAAGCACCTGATCGCTAATTAAAGTTTCCATTTTGGAGATTGCTCTGCTGATCGCCGAATTTCGAAAGGAGAAAATGATTACATTTTTTTTATATTGTTTTATTTACTGCATCATCTTATTCAGGAAGGCCACATAACATTTCATATGGAATTAGATGCATATATTTGTATTGTCGTGGTTTCAAGATACAAAGAGCTAATACGACAACATAAATTTTGTTTCTTGACTATTAGTTTAGCACATTGTAAGTATTTACTTACAATGTGCATCCTTTACATCATGTTGACTAAATCCGAAATACAGATAGATGTGATTATACAGCATTTGCACAAGTGTGTTTTTGTATATGTGTTTTGCACAACTGTGTTTTTGCATAAATGTGTTTCAACAGTAGCAATTGAACGTAAATCTGTCGTGCAGAAGTTCCAAAATGATTTTAAACCGTTAGTTTAGCGGC